AATCCTATATGGAGTTACCCCAGAGTAAATCCATTGAAACCACTGGGTTTAGACTGGAATAACTCTGCATAGGATTTATTTATTTTGTTACATTTATGAGTCACCTAATCTCCACAAATGTGGGGCTCTAGGCGATGTACAAGTTAAAACTATTAAAACCATAAAAACATACCCAATGTATTATACCACAGTGAAGAGCAAGTAGTGAATTTTATTTTTTGCGAGTCCCTCCCACTTCTGTCTGTGAGTGCTTCGTGGCCGCAGGGAGGGAATAAACTCCAGAAGTGAGAAGGGGATTCAGGTAGGGTGCCAGCCGTGATGGATAGATAGATGGCTAGATCAAGATGGGTGGCCATGTGCTTCTGCATGGGATTGCATTGTAAATGTTGTTGTTTTCCTTGTCCTTTTTTACTGACTTGCCTTTTTAACCTTGGTGCTGTCTTTTGTGTTAATGAAAACACACCAGCCTATTTTTTGCCTGTCTAGACATTACTGTTTCTTTAAATTTCCTCTATTAACATAGATAGTGGTCTTACTCGCAAAGTGAAACTGAGAGACGAGAATTAATTTTATCAGGGATTGGCAAATTCGTAATTGTGCTGTGATCCAAAGGCAAACAACACTTGATCTGGAGCTGATCACCTTTGAGTCCTCTGAATGTTCGTGTTTCTTAAATAGTGGATGCACTTAAGGTGTGGTCTGAAAATCTTGAAGGCAGTGGAACTGAAACATTCAGATGACAGAATGCAAAGAAGAACTGTAGTAGGTTAACTCATTAAAGCTTGATTCTGAATGCTTAAGACTAGAAACAAGGGGGGGGGGTTAATCCTGAAGATTTCTTTGATAAGCTTATTGTTTCGATCACCAGAATCCATCATATGTAAGCAGTGCTTACCCACTCATGCTTGTGATGTTTCTGGAATTAGAAAAAATTCTAGACCACCCTGCATCTCCTGCTGGAGCAATAATATTCCAAAGATATATTATAGGTGTAGATAGTGCACATAGGGATGGAGTAAAAATATGGTACAAGTACAGTTTGGCAAGTTTGCAGTTAGCCACTTGGCAGGTTTTTAGGGGGAAAGCATAGATTTCCTCCATGTCTCAACTGCCAAGGACCTCAAGACTCCTCCTGTGCTTCTAATATAGCATTCATGTGTATTCCTCTACCTACATATGGATCATTCTCCGTTCTAGCCTTAAGAAGCTTTTGAATTATGGGCTGAGGCTGGAAGGGAGCCACACAGAACACCATGCTCAGTCTTCCTTCTGTGTTTTGTTTACTTCATTCATACACCTCCTTTCTCTCCCCAAGCAGCTTCCATCATTCTCCTCTCCTCTATTTTATCTTCACAACAGCCCTTTACGTTAGGTTAAGTGGGGAGTCTGCGAGTGGCCCAAGTTTTCACGGCAGAGTGGGCATTCGAACATGGGTCTCCCAGATCTTAGTCCAGCACTGAGCACTGCACCAGAAGGCTGGGCTATGGAGACTGGGCATATGCCTTTATCTTCACTGCAAGTACCTGGAGTAATTCCACAGAGGGGAGAGGAGGGTGAGTGGCCTGGGTGAGCAAAACAATTGGAGGTGAGAGACCACCCTCTGAATTCGTTTGCAAGGCTCAAATACAGTATATTATTTTTTGGAACTGTGTGTAGAGTAGCAAAACATTTAGACGTAAGACCCTTGAACAAGTTGGCCATTTTTATTTGTAGCATGCTAACATATAGATCACACTAGAGGGCAGTATATCACTGCTGATGCCCTGGCCCCAAGTGTTTGCAAATGAACATTTCTAGTCTTCAGCTTCTCAGGATTGCCATAGTTGCGTGGGGCGGGGGGGCTTTAATACATTTTTAGATACGTCAACATCCTAGAAACTGGAAGTATGCTACCACTAACTTTGGGTTCCTCACACTTTAACACCTAGCATAATGTTTCTTGAGTGTTGTAAAATTTAGCAGTGGCTGTTTGCTACAGGTGAGAACCAGCTTGAGTATGGCCGGGGTGGCCAGGTGGCATTTTGGGGCCTGAATCTAATAATCTTCTATCATGTTGTATGTTGTCTTCCCTATCCCCCACGAATATTGTTAGTCCAATTGTCAAAGAGTAACTGTAAATCGCTCTGAGCCCGCAGGTGTGTGGGAAAGAGCGATCAATAAATCGAAAGTATTATATTATTATTATTATCATCAGCATCATCAGCAGGAGCATAAGGCTGCTGTACTGTTCTAAGGAAAATAACTTTGCTTAGGGAGAGGGGGAACTGTGCTTTAATGTTATGTCTAGCTTTGTGTTTTATAACCTGTGCCCTGACGATAACCAGGTTTTTATGTCTTGTGTTCCCCCCAGAGTATGTACCTTGCAGCATTCTCTTCCTCAAGTGTTGATATTTTTAGAATAGTTGCCAGCTTTTTTAGTGAACCTAGCCCCCAATTGGCAACATGTGGGTTTAGCTTTGTTGTGGATGAAGATACTATGTTGTTTGCATTCTTTGTGGCTTTCAAAACAATTGGTTGGCCGTCCTGTTTTGTCTTACTTTTCAAACACTTTGGGGGGGTAATGAATCCCGGGGGTCCGGTCTATGGGGCTAGTAGACAGAGGCCAGGGGAAGGCGCCCACCCAAGGGGGTGTGCCCCAGGCATTGTGTTTGGTGGCAGAAGGCATGGAAGCAGAAAAGGGGGAACTGGGAAAAAAGGAAGGAGAGCTCCAAAGAGCAGAAAGGAGGATCTCCAAGGAAGGGAGATCTTCCCCCCTTCTATTCTGCTATCCTCGGCGAGCTGCCCCCAGCAGAAAGGAGGGAGGGAAGATCCACGAACCTCACAAACCCCAACTGGTTCATGAAGCAGTGGGGTTCGTGGTTCATGGGACCTCACAAACCATGAATTGAGATGAACTCAATTTTCCCGGTTCGTGCCCATCCCCTACTCCTGATCCCAAGACTATTTTGTATGAAGTGCCCCAAAACAGAAGGTTTGTCTTCCTTGGTAGGTATACTTTAGATCTGTGCTGCTGATTTGTCCAAGTCTTCACATAACAAAATACTGCAAAACAACAAGTCTGTACACTGGAGTTTGAGTTTCCATCCCTCAGAAGATGCCACCACAGAACTCTCAGACTGCCTTAGTCTCAGTCTTTTATTAATACTTGTAGGCCAACAGGTTATAAGCAAACAGGGAAAATTATATTATGCAGACAATGTGAGAAACATAATTATACAATGTGAGAGACATAAATATGCATTTTTTACGTTAGGAAGTGATGCCATTAAATGCCGTAGACAAAAATTTTGCAACTGCAAGACACAAATTTCGATCAGTATCTGCTAGTAACTTAGCTACAACCTCTTGTTTTATGACATAACTCCATTTTGGATTATATTATTGATAGTAGTAGCAGCAGCAGCAGTAGTAAATGTTAGTAGTGATATTAATTAATTAAATGTATAGACCACCCTTCCCCGAAAGGCTCAGGGCGGTGGACAACAGGATTAAAATACAATAAATAGTTAAATTATAATTTACCACTATAAACAGCAACAAATCGATGGCTTAAAAATGTATTTTACTCCCTCCCACGGGCTGGTCATGGAAGAGGCCACACTGAGAACCACAATGTGCACCATTGCTGTCCTCAGCTGAAGGCCTGGCGGAACATTTCTGCTTTGCGTGGCCTACGGAACTGAACAAGGTCCTGCAGGGTATAGATGTCACCAGGCAGAGAGTTCCACCAGGCCAGATCCAAGGCTAAAAAGGCCCTGGCTCTAGTTGAGGACACTCAGACATCTTTTGGGTCTGGGACCACCAGTAAATTTTGATCTTCTGAGTGCAGGGCTCTTCAGGGGACATACCAGGAGAGGTGGTCCTGCAGGTACGCTGGTTAAGGGCTTTGAAGGTCAAAACCAAAACCTTGAAGTGTATCCAGTACCCGACCTGGAACCAGTACAGCTGGCAATGCACAGGTTGTATATGTGCTGTTGTTGATTGTGATCCATTTGTCATTGGCTGGATTGTATTTGGTGCCTCAGGTTTACTTATCAGCTTCCCAAGAGGAAAAATCAGTTTGGAATTAGATGCATGTATGTTATACAATTGAGTGCCAGTATGGTGTAGTGGCCAACACTGAGCTGTTAACAGAGGGGTCCCTGGTCCAAGTCCTGCTTCGGCCACAGACTTGCTGTGAAATATGGCAAGCCGCTGTTCTTAGTTTCATCATCCAGTCTCCTAAAATTGGGAATAATCTTACTGGCCTACTTCACGGCCACAGACTTGCTGTTCTTAGTTTCATCATCCAGTCTCTTAATTGGGAATAATCTTACTGGCCTACTTCATAAGGGATACTTTGTGGAATACAGCTAAGTGCTTTGATATGTAAACACCAAGTACTGGCATGGATAGCCTAGGCTAGCCTGATCTCACCAAATATCAGAAGTTAAGCAGAGTCAGTCCTGATTGGTACTTGGATAGGAGAGCACCAAGGAAGTCCAGGTTTGCTACACAAAGGCAGGCAGTGGCAAACCACCTGTATGGTGACCCCACAGGGTTCTCAAGGCATGACTTGATAGTACTTTTTAGCTGTTACCTCACCAGTGTATTTTGGGTCGGGAAGGTTTTTCCCCCCTATGCTCAGATTTGCGGAGATTTCGGGGTCTCAAGATGTATGCCCCATAAGCGTCTTCTGGCAGCACGCCTGCTGTCTTCCCTTTGGCTAACTTCAGTAGGCTGATGTGGCTGGGGTAGGTTGATGGGTCTACCTTGTGGCAGTAAGTGGTCCTAGTAGGTTCCCCTTTAGCTCCTTCCAACTCATATTGATTAAAGAATTTTCTGTCGTTTTCAACTATTCCAAAGTACTGGAATTTAAAGGGGGGTGGAGTTTGTTGTTAAGTGTAGTCAGGTTCCTGTATGTGAGAATAAGCACTCATGGCACTTTACATATGATTTCCAACAGAAATGTCACTTTTCTGGATTCCGTAATTAAAAGACATATCCATTTCTCCTCTTAGGCACCACCTTCCATGGTCAATAATGAACAACGTCAGCATGCTGAACACATATTCTTATCATTTAGAAAATCAAAATCGCCATTTGCTGTCTGCAAGCATATTTTAGGTAAGTCCTAATGTGTATTTTTAAATACTTGGCCTATAGCTAAGGCAGGTGGCGCATCCTATTAAGGCACGTGACTTGCTTTACCCCAAGGGCTGGGCACGTTAAATCCTGCTTCACTGGCAGACCAGTTGGATGGCTTTTCCAGCTTTCGATTCAGAGGTCAAAAAGCTAATGATTCTCCAAAGTTCAAAACTTGGGGGTTTAAGGGCTCAACTGCTTAGCACTGGCATGAGCATCAACTGGCCAGCCCTCCTGTCAGTTGACTGCCTGTTCTTTGACCATAGTTAAGTATTGCCAACTATTTCCTAAAGCCAAGAATGCTACTGTGCAAGCTGCACCTTTGCTTTTGTGTTCCGTTATGGTGTCTGCCAGGATAGGAGAGAGGGCAGTTCCCCCCCACCCCACCCCCAGCGCTGCCCAATGCAGAGATAAACCAAGCAGCATAGGAAAACATCCATGTACTCCCAACAGTAAGCATCTCCTAATGGACAGAATTGGCCTGCTGCCTTGCTTCCCTGACTTTGGTTTTTTTAATGCCTGCTGTTTGTTTTGTTCTGCCATCAAATTGCAGCTAACGTATGGTGACCCCACAGGGTTCTCAAGGCAAGAGACGTTTAGTGGTGGTTTGCCATTGCCCCCCTCTGCAGAGCAGACCCTGGGCTTCCTTGGTGGTCTCCCATCCAAGCACTAACCAGGGCTGACCTTGCTTAGCTTCTGCGATCTACCCAGATCAGGCTAGCCTGGACCATCCAGGTCAGAGCAATGCCTGCTGTTACTTTCTTTCCTTCTATTAATTTCATTTTCCACAATAAAGTTAAAAATACTTGATTGTTACTTAGCTGGTAAATTGACCAAATCTTTTGTGCCTGGAGAAATGTTTACTGTTAGACCTTGCCCTGTTACCCCCACCATATGGAATAAGCATGGGTCCAGTTCACTGTAAACAGTTCTGCATGACCTCCACGATAGTTCCACACTGTACCGTGCTATTCTATTAATAACCGGGTGCTGTTAGATTTATAATTTAATTTATAGTTTTTATTGCATATAGAGGCTGACTAAAAGGTTCAATATTCATAAATAAGTAGTACGTGTTGGGAGGGGAAGATTAGTAGAACACATAACCCCTGTAGAGAGACATATAATGTGTGTGGTATGTGTGAATGGTGTCTCATGCCTTTATAGAAGCCCCCCTTAGGTTGGTAGCAGGCCAATCGGATAGAATCAAGGTATAATTTCTCCTTGCTTCACGAGATCCGGAGATCATTGAACTGACCGCTAAGTTTCTCCATGGTTTTATAAAACGGAAGAGTGACCCTGATCATATTAATGATTCTTAATTTATTAGTCTAAAAACTTAAGTTTAAAAGTTTAGAATGCCAATTTATTTTATGATTCAGGCATCTTTTGTATGGTCAAATCTAGCTTGTGACAACTTGAGTTAGGCCTGACATAGCCACGACTATCTATTTTATAATTTATTTTGGATTGTATTATTGGTAAATGCTTCTAATATTGTATGCCAATAAATGGTATTTGAATTGAATTGGTGTCTCATGCCTCAAACAACTATTTTTCCTACATTTGCTAACCACAAGTGACTGCAGCCCTGTGAGGAGGAGAACAGAAGGCAGCAGTGCCCACCATACCTTCCCAACCTCTGTGAGAGAGATGCTATGTGCTTGGAACTAGAAGAACATTTTTGATTCCTTCAAATGGCTCTCTGACTTAGTAGGCAGGAAGTAACCAAAATGTTTTGACAATATGGCAGCTCTATACCTTTGTGTTTTGGGAATAGTTCTTTGACGTGTTTATCTTTGTATTTATGTTGGTATTTTGTGTGAAAAATGCCTTTCAGGTTACTTGTTATGAATTGTGGACTTACAATCTTGGGTTTCTCTGACAGAAACGAGTAAAGTGGACTATGTCCTTTTTCAAGCCGCCACAGCAATTATGGAAGCCGTTGTACGAGAATGGATTCTGTTGGAGAAAAGTAGTATTGAATCACTGCGAACATTCCTTTTAACATATGTCTTACAAAGGCCTAAGTAAGTACTTGGTATTGTCAGAATGTTTGTGTGCAGCTCCGACAATGTTTTCCACTTCTTTATTCATATGGAAACTATTTCAGTAATACGCTTCTGTTTCGTAGATGCTAATAAATGGTGAATTTTTTTAATGCGAACTTCCTCATAAGACCTGTACATCAGTTTTTCTAAATCTTGTTGCTTTTTTCTACCCCATCTTTTTTTCTAATGAAAAAAAGTTCAAAGTGGCCAGCAAATGGGTCAAAATGAGACAGAGGATGGGACATAGCCATCTCCTGCAGAATGGCTGTCCTCTGGAAAGCCTGGGGATTGAAGTTGTGAGTAAAGGAGAGAACTGGCAGAATAAAGAACAGGGAGAAGAGCTTGGAGGAACTCAATCACCACTGCTTGAGTGGGTTGTCCACAGTTACTTTTCTGAGAAAACTTTTAAAAATTCAGTGAGAGGAGTTTCATTTACCTAATCTCTCTGCTAGGGATGGACACGAACCAGCTGATCAACTAACCGTATTTGGAAACCCCTGCTTTCTGCTCCCCATGGCTTTTCTGAGTCATTTAAACTAAACAGCTGAGTGGGGGTCCCCACTGCCCAGCTGTTTGGAAACCCCTGCTTTCTGTTCCTGCAAAAAGCCATGGGGAGTAGAAAGCAGGGATTTAAACTTTAAATAGCTCTTGAACCAATATGAACCAGGTCAGTTCGCAAACCAACCTCCCTGTTTGTATGGGTTCATAGTTCAGCCACAAACCATGAACCAAACTACAACCACACGGTTCTTGCCCATCCCTACTCTTCGCTCATGTCTATATAGTTGCTGCAAGTTTCCTTGTCTTATTTTTAAGTTCCAGTTGCAATGCTTGTATGCTTCTGAAGGTATTAAGTTTAAACATTAGTGTCCTAAATTTGGCATTGAAATTTATTTTCCTTCCTTTATACAAAGTTACAAGGTAGAGAAGCTTATCTTTTGGTAATTTGAGACCAGGCAGTCTAGTCCCATGTGGGTGGGGGGGAATTACATGGTTTGTGACCTATGTCCATATTACTACAGCTAAAAGAGTTTAGTAGGATAATGCAGCTTAGTTGATAAGTAGAAGAGATGCTGGAAAACATTAGAAAAAAATTATATTGATCTGAACTGAACTCACTTCCAAACATGTGATTTTAGAAGTACAGTTTTAACAACTACAGTTTAAACAACCTAGCATCTCTGAGACTATTAGAGAAAGCAAACTTGCTTTGTCTTCAATTTTACATCCATGTTTTGAACTGAAGAGCATGATAGAACCAATGTCAATCAGGGTTATGAATTCCCCCAAAATTACAGTGATCTGTTGAATAATACAACTTGGAAGTCTGCAAAGGAGGAAATAACAAAAAATGTAAATTGTTATAAATAATGCAATACCATAACCAGCTAGCAATTCCAGATATAGAGCTGAAGATACATTTTATGTACAATGCAACATAATGTTCTATAATAAATGATGCAGTCCATTCCTTTGCATTTTTACTTGTAAGTAAATCCCAGTGTTAAATAATACAACTTGGGTCTTATTCTCCATTTAGCATACATTGCATTCCAGATTTAATCTCTCAGAGATAAAATTCTGGGTTAAATTTTGTTCTTTGTATGGCTATTTATGTGGATTTTGTTTTATTTTATTTATACCCTACCTTTCTCTCGCATGGGGATTCCATGCATCTGTTGAAGTATGGTTTTAGCTACACAAACTAATTTTATTCAGGTCGAGTCACTCATTTTGTATGTAGCCGTATTCCATTACATAGAATACCAATGCCACTTGGTAGTGGCAGGAAAGATAAAGCATAAGAGAAGAGAATCATCTGTTCAGTTGACAGCTATCTTATTTTTCCCCAGTAGACCCTTTGTTCCCTTGTGGTTACTCCTGTAGAATATGTAGTCTTTTAATGTTTACTAGCATCTTAGTTTCACTAATCGTGCCTGTGGAAGATAGTCTGCATACTTGTACAGTACTGAAACCTAATACGAGTTGCAAATGAAGGTATTGTACAACTTCTGCAGGCTGTCTGTGCTACTTGGAGAAGTCACCAGTTTGTAGGTATAGGAACATTGCAGAATTTCTGGGAACTGAAGGACTTCACCATGTAGCCACTTTTTAAAATGTGCTCACACAACATACTCAAGATACAGCAGTCTGTTGGTATAATTGTCTAATAAAGCCAACTGATGGCCCACATCTGGCTCATGAGTGACCTCTCTGCATTCTGTTTCTTCAAACTCTGTCCTACCCCATCCCAGGCTGGAAGTGGCACAGAAGTCTTGTGCGCGGGTTTGGTTCAGGCAGTTTTTCTCCCTGAGCAACTCTGTGGCATCTTGATTTCATTCTTTGAGTCTGCCAGGTTTTTCAGCCTGAAACTTCCCCCATCAAGTAGCAGTGATGCTTGGGGTAGCCAGCTTAACCGGAAGGGGTCCAGACCTCCTGTTTGAAGAAGCTGGCTATCACATAATGGTGTGAAAGAAAGCTCTTTCAAATATCCTTCTGATTGTATTCTGATTGGCTCCAGCTGTGAGCTTCATCCTCCCCTTTCTGGCTACTTAGCTGCCATGGATGAGATCAGAGGGAGAAGAAGCAGTAGCCAAGCATCCCTCCTCCTCATAGCTAGAGAACCTTCTCCTTGAATGCCTTTAAGGTACTGCATATAATTTTATAATTGTATATTTGTACTAATGTAAGCCACTTTGAAGACGTTTTTTTGAAAGTAAGATAAAAAAAAGTGCTAAATGAGTGGCATGTTACAATTGCTGCACCAGAGGATCAAGTTCAAAGTGATGGCCAACACACACAATTCAACCAAGATGCTGAATTCTTGCAAATGGAGTTGGCCTTGTCTTCTGTGAATCCAACTTTGGTAAAATTTCAGTTTTGTATGTACATGCCTGGAATACAGAATAGCAGAAGGTCCCAGGGTTCAGTTCCGGCATCTCCAGTTAAAAGGATCAGGTAGGAGGTGATGTGAAAGACCTGAGACCCTGGAGAGCCACTGCTCGTATGAGTAGACAATACTGACTTTGATTGACCAAGGGTCTGATTCAGTATAAGTCAGCTTCATGTGTTCATGTGTTTAGTACTGTAGGGTACTTTTATAAAATATACATGAAGAGGAAGAAGATGTGAATGTAGGGCGTCTGGCTCAGTGTCAACACTAAAGATTTAATATTTTGAATTGTTATTTACAGCCTCCAGAAGTATGTACGGGAACAGATATTATTAGCAGTAGCAGTAATAGTGAAACGAGGATCATTAGACAAATCAATTGACTGCAAGAGCATTTTTCATGAAGTCAGCCAGTTGATAAGCAGCGGTAACCCCACTGTGGTAAGTGCTTGCAATTTTAAATGTACTGTAAATGCACAAACTTAGATCCCTGAAGCTTCTGTTATGATAATGGGAAAATTCTGCTTGTAGAAAACTTCTGCATTCTTAAATGGAAGATGAGCAGGCAATTATTTATATTGCATTTAGCAATCCCAACACAGTGTCAGGATGAATCTTCATGGCATCAAAAATATGTATATCGTGTAAAATCTTGGACTCAAATTTAAATGTAGGGCTAATGAGTTTTTTCAGTCATCTCTGTGCTTCATTATGTATTTCCCAATCAAATTAAATGTAACATTTCTAAATGCTAGGATTGGAGCAGCGAATTTGTTCAAAGCACCACAACAGTTTGATATAAAAGTGGATTTTCCGTTAGCTGGCAGTGATTTCCTCACACTCGGTTCAGTTTACATCTGTCCCTTGCTGTGCCCTGTCTATGATTCAGCTGTTGGAATTGTCTGAGGAAAGACCTTTTCCATTCCCCGGGGAAGTGGTGTGGTTGGGCAGAAGGGGTGTGAGCAGCCACAGAACTGAAAATGGCAGTACAAAATTTACTCGTGTTACATTCTTCGAAGCAGAGGAGGAAATATCCTTCACCCTCTCATGAAGCTCTAAATAGATTTCCAGCACCTTATTTCCACTTCTGCATTTAGTTCAATTCCATATACTGAGCCAGAAGAGGAAATTTAAAAGGTTCCGTTGTGGAGATGAGTTCTCTGTATATCAGATTGAAAGCATTAATACTTGCGATTGATGAATTTGAAATGCTTATCTTCATTTAAAGCTTGTCCAGAGATAAGAATTTTTAAGTTTCCAGATGAAGTCCATGGGAAACACAGGTGCTTTGTGCTTGTTAAAATTTGAAGGAGTAAGAGTAATGCATCCCATGGCATGAAACGACAGAGTGGAAATATTTCTAAGACTTCCTTTCCTCGAGGGAGCAACATTACGTGTACTTAAATCCAAGTTCCCATATTAGCAGAAATCTGTTCTGTGTAAATGATGAACTGTTTCATATTGAAATATTTCATATGATATTTTGCTGGTGTGTGCATTTTTCTGTTAAATATATTTTCCAGCTAAAACTGTAAAGCTGTTCAAGGACTGAGACAATGTAGATATCTCTATCTTCCTTCTCTTCCCCTGCAACATCCTGATTAACTGAGAGAAAACAGGAGCTCTAAGCTCCCTCCACTGTAAGACTGAGTTTATGTGCCCCCTCCTTCCTCTCAAAAGCTAAGTTAAATTGACCCAACACAATTTTCCTGCTTGATGTATTCTTCAAGAATTCTGGTTGCACATGTCTGCTGGCTTATGCCAGAATTCCTTTACCAGTTCATGAGTGGTGTGAGCAGGAAGCTCAACTCCCATCCTGCATCATCTTCCTCCAGGGGAGATGGGTTGCTGGTCTCCTACACACTCTGGCTGTTGGCTCTACCAGTCTTTCTAGTATGGTTCCACTCCTTTTGCAGCCTGCTTGAGAGGGCTACTGTGACCCAGCGTGGCTTCCTGTGATCAGTAGGTGGCGCCTTTAAGGGTTTGGTAAGGGTTCACCACAGGGAGAATGAGCAGTACCTGGGAAGGGGCAGAGTCAGGTGAGGATGGAGGGGTAGAAGGCCTGAAGGAGCATTAGAGACAAGGACTGTGTGAGAAGGAGGCAGATGTCAGAGAAGGCAAGAACTGAATTGGACATCCCTGTCAACTCTTGATGGAGCTTTTGGCCCTAGACCCTCCATATAAGAGCCTTGGTGCCTACTGATTCTAGTGACAGAACTGAGGTCCAGGCTGTGGCTGTACAACAGCAAAAGAAAGGGAGTGAAACGGCTATTTGGCATCCACATGTTTGCTGTGATAGAAACTTAAAGGTCAGATGTCACAGTTAGGGATGTGCACCAGAAAAAAAAAATCATGATTTTCTAGATCCTGATACTAGGGAATGTACAATTATCAGTATTCTAGATTATTCAGGTCCCCTGGTTTAGTGTCTGGATTTGGGCTTTTCCCGGATTCTGATATTATTTGGGTCCGTTATTTCCTATAGGGAAGTCTTTCTGGGGGTCTAGAGGGGCTGTCTTTCAAGCAAATTACACCAGTGCAGCTTGTGCTGCATGTCCACCAAGGAATCCCCAAATTTCAAGTGAATTGGACCAAAAGGAAAAAAATGCCACGCTTTCTCCAGGATAAAGAATAGCCAAATACACAAAGTCAAGTAACGCAGCCACTGGCCAAAAGCCTCCCAATGCAAACAGAACCAAGAAGCCCAATGGAACCAATGCAGAATCAGTGAATCCCAGCAGTTCCACAGGTCAATGTGGCAAGCCCTAACACAATCAATGTCAAGGAGAGAATCCAAACCAATGTCAAACTAGAGAATCCAATGCGAACCATCTTAAGCAAGGGACAATTTCAAAGTACAGAATCCAAGTCAAACCAACCTAGCAAGCAAATACTAACATCTGGTGTCTCAAAAAATCCCAGATACCATCCAGACACCTGAATATAGCCAAAAGGTACCAAGAAGTATTTTTCAGGTAGATATTTGGACCAGAAATATCCAAATGCGCATCCCTAGTCACAGTTAGCCAAGTTCAAGAACATGTTACAAGCCCAAAAGGCCATTTTTTTGCTTGCATAATACTGGTACAGAGGAAAAAGAATATCAAAATTGTGACTATTCTTTTAAAATTGTTGAAAAGTAATATTCATGGCTTTGTAAACCAGTTTAAACCCCCCCCCCCCGGCCTGGGCTTTCTTTCTTTCTATCCCTCTTTTTGTTCACGGACACAAGGTCTTGAACAACCCAAAACCATAGAATAATGACGTACTTCTTCTAAATAATTTTAATTTAACTTTAAGCCTTTATGCCTAGAAGAAGCAGCTGCCAAAAACTTTGCAACAACTGCTGTACAATCATAGTTTACATCCAAAAGTAGGGTTTGCGAAACTGAGTCTGGCGAGATGTTATCATGTACCAAATCCACCTCTGGATCCACCACTCTCTCTCTCTCTCCTTTTAGCAAGGGTCAGTCTACCATTATGTGTGAGATCGTATCGATAATGCCAGAACCACGTTGAGAAAACAACATAGTTATTTTATGTAACTGGAATACTTATATACCCTGTTTTTTGCCATACACTAAGAGCAGTTTCTGTTATTTGTATTGCTTTGGAATGGATAGCTGGGCTAATTTATATATTTTCCATTCTTTGAGTAAAAGGAAAAGAAAGTGTGTGTATGTGTACCCTGGCTTCTTTAGTTATTGCAGTAATAAGTTACTGTTAGCATTGTGCAAAATCATTGGATATAATTTTATGAATAATTTTCTTGTGGACTTCATGCTGAAGATGGATATAATCCAATTAGGATGCCGCATTAACTGTTTTTCCCCTCTGTCCATATTCTTACAAAAAGTATTGTGAGAGGAACTTAGGATGAGACCTATCCTGTGTGTTACTTGTTTTCCATCTTTTGGTGGGCCAAAAACTACTTAAAGAATTTTCTTCATGGGGTGGGGGAAAACACAGTAAGAGAGATTGTTGGATCAGCAGTAGAGGCTAACAGCTGATCAGGTTCCAGATTTGTATCCTGCAGGAACTGCCAGACAAAAGAGCAGTCTATTTTGGGATTGTTCCGTTCTTCAGCAAAGACCCAAACTGCCAGTGGTAGTGATCTGGACTGGAGCAGTGATAGTGAACATCTCTGGGAACTTCTGTATTCCCCCTCCCCCCCGTACTGTTTTTGAGATACTTCAGGTTGACTGCTCAGTCTCCACAGTAAAGCACTCCACCCAAAAGATTTTGAGTTGGGGGAAATTCATTGATTCAGGCATAGCTTTACTTACAGATATATACCCTTCTGTGTTATGTGCATGTTGCATACAGAATCGTAAAGATGTGAACGAGTGCAGAATATCTCGCTTGCAATTTGAAGTCCATTTTCCCTCTTCCTTACAAGTGGAACTATGAATAGATGTTGTTCCCATGGCACACCTTGATTAAAATTTGATATGGCTGCCATGGGCCAAATAAAATTACCTTGGAAAGCAGGTATAACTCCTGAGGTAATTGTCCTCGCCTGATCTAGAGCTTTAAATAGGCAACTAGGCACTTGTTTGTGAACTGCAAAGTGTATTTTAAATACAGGGGACTTTTAAAAAGCCATTAACGCTTACAAGAAGGGGTGGTGACAGGAGGCATATACAATCAAAAGCACCCATGGTGGGAGAGTCCTAATGAAATGGGCCTTATCTCTTGTACTTTTTTGTGCTGTTTCCTACATGATGGACTCAGCTATTGGTAGAAAGCCCATGACTAATTTTAGCCAGCTCAGTTCATTTTTTCCACCATTGATTCCAAGATGCTGAGAAAATGAATCTGGGATAGACTCCTTTAACCACAAATGCCTGTAGTTCCTTGGCACTAGATCTTGGTATTGAATATGCTTTCTGCTTTGGCTATTTGAAGGATTCCCTTTTCTGAGACCTAGAGCACAAACTACATCACTCACATTAATTCATAAAAATAGTCCATTCAAAAAGTTGAACTCTGTTTAATGTGTTGTATGAACTGTGTCCTCCTGACTTCTGGCAGATCTCGTACAAGACAATGAGTATGCCAAACATAAAAACTGGTTAAGTTGGTGTCTTGTTATAGGGTTGTTAAAAGTAAAACTAAATTTGCACTAGCTCTTGTATGTCTGTACTGTGGCCTTTAATGTCACAATAATCTCTGTTAAGGAAATCACACCCTCATCAGATAGAGACCATTTCTTTTCCTGTAACCACAATGAACTGTTGAGAATGTCACTGTTAAGAAATTAAGTGTTATTCGGGACTGAATGTAAGAGCCCTTGATGGTTTGAAACCAGTGGTCCATGTAGCCCAGCATCCTGTTTCACACAGTGGTCATCCAGTTGCCCTGGAAGAGCAACAAATGGGGCACAGAGGCCAAGGTTTTCCCCTAATCTTGCGTCCTTGGTTTTCAGAGGTTTTCTGCTT